AGGTATTGACTTCATATAAACATTCTCATTGATTTAAATCTTAAAAATCAATCTATTTTCAAATAATTTCATCCATTCCCAAATATAACTGATGTACTCGTAGAAAAACAAATGATATGGGAATAGTATGTGACTCTAAAAAAAACAATTTTATCCCGGAAATATTTCCTCAAAATTGTGAATCTAATAGTTATATTTTCAGTTTTCTAAGGGGAACAATAAGTTATATATTTCCACACTGAACATTTAAAAGAATGGAGATTAATAAAAACTCTAAGAAATAATACATTACGGAAAATACTAATTCTATACAGATGAATTCGCGAGCTTATTTTAAAATGCTAAGTTTCCTTTTGACTAACAACCACTTGCTACATAACGCACCCTTTTCTTTCTTATATTGACTTACTGTTAACTATACAATAAATGATGACTTGACAAACTAGTATCGGAGGCATTATCGCGTGCTTTTAATTATAGGTTGGTCGTGACCTGGTGCTTAATGGTGCTACGACGCTGTTAGAAATGACAGTATTATAATATAATGTAGTGACGTCTAATTACGCCCACTGTTAAAGGACTACAAAAACAAATTGAATACTACATATTGCAGTTATAGATTGCCGATATATTTAGAATATGGGAACTTGATTTATACACATTTTGGGTCCGTTTATCGACAATCGGACTAACATAAGCAATGGGCATTATTAGGCAACACTAACTTTGTGTTGTACTTGGAATGTAACAACATTTACTGAAAAAGAGAAAACTATACTAAGTTATCAATACTGCAAACAAAACTAAGTTATCACTAAACTTTAATGGACTTTGGAATTAAATATTCGAAGGAATCTTGTAGATCAGAAGTAAACCTTAATATACAGAAAATATATATATACAATGCTGGAATACCTGTGTGTTATGTAGTACGTGCACTGTAATTTGTGTGTCCAATAAATTACTCTGATATGAGAATCAAACCCATGCACGCTAATTCAAAAATGACGAAGTTGATTGGTAAAATATGAATGTTAATTAAATTTTGTATGGCACAATTGAAAATGTTATTTTAGATGCATGTTAGTATTGACACTGCGAATTATTATTAAATATTTTGTTACCATCTTAAAATTATAGAGAAATGACTTTTAAAATTGTATAAAAAAACTGTTTACTTCTAGTTAAACTATCAAAGTAATAAATATTAAAATTACTTAAAAGTACTAACGTACAAGAAAAGAAAATGAAATATAAATTAATAACTTAAAAACAATCGATTAGCTCTTTAAAATGTAACTTACTTCGTATTTATTTAAATTATATCAAGTCCAATATAACACAGTAAGTACCGTTTACACAAAAAGTGACACTCGTCCTTTCTGCAATGCAAACCCTAGCGTCGTCCTTTACTCACGAAGTGCGCGTAAAAGCGACAGACATACTCGTCCTGCAAATATACGTAATTAAAAGGGATAAGCTTGTTTACCGAAAAGTTTTAAAGTGTTCGCCTTCAAATGAGGTTTTAATCTTTATTGAGTTGGTAATGTGTGTGGAGGGAATCATTTCTGAATTTATCTTACGGACGGAAATATAGGTTGGCCTACATCCGTCGGAGTCGTGTTTTCATTTGGGATTTTCCTCCAACTTGGCACCAAATCCGAGCAGCTGTGAGTTTTCCACCTACGGGATATTTTCTTTTCCTCCTTCGACATGCGATCTTGACGACTGGCTTTTGTGATTTAAAAAGATTTGGAAAGGTAAAACCGCTTTACTGCTACTCCGATACGAGTATGCGAGCTTTCAATAAATGAAAATGAATTTACATTTGATCTATACAGAATGCGCTTGTGATTATTAAATTTTATATAAAACAATTTATATTATAAAGAGCTCGATGGCACAGTATTAACGTTTCATTTGCAATGTGGAGGTAAAACATCTTGCGTATTGGATGTGTGGCCAAAATTTAAAATTATAAATTCTCACATAATTTGTGCTGCTTTCTAACAACGTTAATTACTAGCAGAAATAAAATGAAAAATGATAAAAGGAACCTAAAGATGATTTTAAAATACCTATTCAACGACACCCCACTTGACATAGTTCACCGATTTTTTTTTTTCATTTTGACAATATGACGTCTGGTTGTCGCAGTGGTGAATTTTGATTACTGTCATGTCTTTAGTGACACTCGCAAGGTTAAGACGAATCGATTAACGTAAGAATCATCAAAATCGGCCTACGCATTTGGTCTCTAGAACGCCACATAGAAACAAACAAACATACATAGACTGATATACATATACGTATTATCCTCTTTAGCGTCGCGCAGTCGGGTAAAAAAAGGTATTATTCTTATAAGAATAAGGCGTTAATCATAATAAAGTGATTACGAATAAATAAAGCGATCACAATACCCTTCATGCTTGTACTTTTATTTCCTATCGCATTATTATCCTTACTATCCTCCGCATTTTCCCCAAACAAGTGAAGATTGAGATATTTATCGTGTATTCTATTATTAAGATAATTATATTGAGTTGTACCAAAGTAGTTTGTACTTATACCCGAAATTTGACGAATAATTTACATGAATCAAAGGACTTTTTAATTAGAATAAATTTCTAGGAAGGTTCACTATTTGTAAAGTTGGATTTTCACAAAATGAAATTTCAAAAGGAACTGTCAACGTCCTTCAAAGTTATAATTAAAGTACTTTTAATATTGAAGACGTCTTTGAAGCACTTTTAATCATCAAGAAATTAGTAACTCTAATTTAATTAATAATTAATGAATGAGATTATTATGTCGACTGCCTATTTTGAATTGTAGGTAGACTAATAAGCACATAATGTTACAGTAAAAGGCAAAATTTCTACAACGTATTTTACTATAAAAATTCTTAAATAATCCACCAGTCCTGGATTGCTCTGGATATTCCTTACCAGATACCAGGGGCTGAACTTACGTAAGAGTGAAACAGAGGGTTTTCGTGAGAGTTCTGGGCTAATCTCTCTTCTCCTCCAGCAAGCCAATTCTAATGTTTACGATAGAATCTCAGCTACTTGTATTTTGTCGTTGTACATGAATAATAATAATATAATCTTTATTGCACACATACAGACAGGAAAACAGAACGAAATTTAACGGTAAAACAATACAGAGTACATTGTAGGTAGATAACGTTAAATCCAACTTCATCATTGATGTATGAAGAAGACATTGATATTAGAGTTTAGTTAGATAATACGCTGGAAAAATGCGAGTCGTCGAGATTCTACTGAGATACGATTATTACACATTAGTAGAATCGGTCTGTAGACCGATAAAATATTAAGGCAAGTTCCTTTTGCTTAAAAAATACTGGGGGGGCTGGTGAATTTATAAGAATATTTCATTAAAAATGCATATCAGTATTGATCAAATATAATAACTATAACAGATTTAAAATTAAAATCGATTAGAGTAACTTGACCTTTTGTAGTAATCTGATGCCTTTACACTGGTCGACGGTTCTGTACGCCGAGTGATCTCATTGGTCAATAAAATAATGAACGACTAATGAAACGCACGCAGATGTTAACAGCGTAAATACACCATATAATCCCGACTATGTAGTCGGGATTATATAATTATGTAATTATATGATGTCACTAAACCTATTTATAACAAAACAACTAAAAAACCAGGCTCTAATTTAAGCAAATGCGTAAAAGTATAGGCTACACAAAGAGACACGTGCAAACTAAGCTTTACAGTTCACTGTCAGCCCCTATACGTCCCCACTGCAGGGGCTCAGGCCTTCGTTAAGGATGTTAAGGAGAATGGGCCATCACCTTTTATGCTGGCCCAATGAGGATTGGATGATATTAACAACTGCGGATACTATAAGATATTGACAAAAAACTATTGACTAAAAAATAGATAAAAACTATTTTTTAGTCACCCATCCGGTGACCGACTTTTGCGAAATTTGCTTTACAATAACAATCGCGGACCGCGGCGTTCATTTACTGTGAGACCGAACTACCCAGTTTCCAAGTTACCGAGCTTGACGGTTATCGAGGTTATAATTCGGTATACTCGTACACCACGTATTAGTGATCCGCCAATATTGCCTTATGGCTAAAGCTGCAGAAACAACTGGCAAAGTTTAAACAATACAATTGTACCAAAAAATAATGGTAAATATCTTAAAAAATATGCTCTTGACACAAATATGAATTGATAACAAATTTTATTAAATCTACCTTTGAAAGATAACGGTTTCATACGCTAAGATGGTGTCTACAGACGAATGGTTAAAAACAAATGTAACGCAATATCGACATTATTTCCTCAGAAATAAGACCTATTATTGTTTTCAACTTCTCGATACAGTTTTTAACAATAGATAGTGTTGTCGATATAAAACGTTTATTTTTGCTTCCTGATATTATCTAAGAAATAATTGGAATATTACCTAATGATAAGGATAAGGAAAATTTGTTGGTCCCATTTATCAAATTGAAAGCTATATTATAGTTATATTTCTAGCTGCTTTTATTATAACATAAAATAAGTTAGAATACAATATAAATCACAATCATATTCAACCATATACATTTTTTAAATATTATCTTCATATCTTCGAATTCCCTTTGAACAATTTATTAGAAATATATATTATGAATGAAAATTGTTTACTAATAGAATTGCATGTGAGCAAAGTCACCTAGAGAAGCTATGGAAATTATAAGCATTAGAATTCAGCAAAACATTTCTTGAACCTTTTTATAAATTAACTTGACTTCGTTACGATCTTCTTTTGAAATATATACTGAAGTATTCTTATTTTCTACATCAATTTACAAAATGCTTTTCAACAAATATAACTAAACCAATTCCGTTACACTCGTATCTAAAGATTTCATTTCCGAAAAGCATAATGCAGTAAAGATTCCCCCGGCATTCCGAGTCAGTATCTAAGTGTGTTACGGTCGAACGGTTATACTTGCCTTTAAAGTTTATAGTTGCCATCATTTTCTATACAGCACTCGATCAAAATCCCACGTTACAATCCACTTACAATACAACTTACAATATTGACTTTGCCTCACTATCACAACGTGTTCCTTAATCTCACCGTTTATGTTTACCTAATTTCTTCGCTACATATATTTACATCGTATTTTTGAGAGCGAATCGTGCACGCAGGTAAACAATTACATTATATTCTTACACGAGAAAGTGCGTATTTTTAATCGGTACGAATACTAGTGATTTCACGTGTAATTAGGTTGTATTTGTGTTATTGGGACGCGACAACCGCGTGCGTGGTACCGTTACGGCTACGCGACGATAACTGACTAGGGCGGGGGAGGCATCGCAGTCTGCGCGCCGCCCGCCCAGCAGCAGGACGCCGATACAAAATTAATACTTGTTTTGCTAAAAGCGATTTCGATTTGTCGACCCCCGAATTGGGAAAGTTAGACGGATCTTGTTAGCGATAAAGGGTTCGCTAATCAACACGTTTACAGTTACTGCCGTTTATCTAGAGTGTGTATTAATTGCTAATAACCTATTTTGCCTCGGTCACTGACCTGCAAATGAATTAAAGATAACAATAAGTTTATGCAAAATTTTAAAAATGGCAAAGTTTGCCTTAAAATACTATCAAAAATTACAAAATATTATCAAAAAGATCAAACAAAATAACTTTTGTTCCACATTCACGATCAAGATTTAAAATAAAATGACAATTTATGAGTTTCATTTATACGTGCACAATATATATCATACCTATAATTATGTGGGGCTACTTAATAGACCTACAGCGGTGTCTGTGATTAAAAGTTAATGATAATGTGGAACACGAAAGGAATAATTTAGCTTTTAATTTAGAGTGTTACCTCGATACATTGCCTTACTACCTGATGAGTTTTAATTTGAAGTAGCTATATTTGAATATCGCTTTGAGTGATGGTGAAATCAATGGGGTTTTAATGGCTACAGTACAAGATGTAGTCTTAGGTTCAAATGAAATATTAGTTTTGCATTATTATTAGAGATTTAAAATTTCCACCTTTCAAATAATGTTAACCTTTCTATAATGTTTATTTTAGAATACCCGTATCATTTTGTATTACTTCATATTAATATTAATGCTGAAAGATAAATATTCAAAAAGTTGCCTCTCCTATATGCTCGATTGGATTAATTTATACAATTTAGAGGTATAATCATATATTTGTTTAATTATAAGGAATACTATATGAAATTGCAATTGCAACAAAGAAATATAAAAAAGGGTGGACCAAAATGAGAGCCTTGAGGAATTCCTAATGCACTGCATATATGCAGTAACCTGTGAATAAAATTGCGGTTGAATAAAATGATTATTCAAATGGTGAATAAAATTTTATTCACAGGTTACTAACTGACTATGAATTGCTATGGTTGTGTGGTACGTAAAAGATATTTCTCAATATATATATTGAACCCTCAAATGTACTACTGGACATAATTCAACTTATGTGCCGTAATCTGTACAAGAACTAATCACCTTAGAAGTTTAACAACAACAATTTAAAAGGTTAGCCTTCCTTCCTAAGCTAGTCCCAATTGAAGTAAATGTAAAATATGTATTTAAACTTTTCATACTTCAACCCATAAAGCTGACTACTTGCATTATACAAGGTCACATAAGCTCGGCATGAGTTAAAATCCCACATCGCTGAACAAATATTTTGACAAGAGCCTAGGAGACACGGCAAAGTTACGGACACGACAAACAAGTTCAAAGCTAAGCCCTGTATGTGACTTGCATTTTATTTAGAAGCTACATTATTACTTCCAGTAATTTTGATAAGGAAGTTTTAAAATGTAATAGTAATAAAAGAGTTTTTAAAACTCAAGGGATTAAAACAGAACATGGGTGGGATACATAGGAACAAGTGCAATTTTTGTCCACTGCTATTTACTCACGAGGAGCTTGATAACGCGGCAATTAGTGCCTTTATTCTGCGATTGTTCAGATTAAGCTACTTTGGCAAAAACCAGTCATCATAATTTTTTCTGCGGCAACAAAAAAAATCAGCTGTCTCTACATTTTATTCTTATAAAACGTATGCCAACAGTGGACGTTAAAATTATGTTGATAATGGTGACTCTCTATTCGGGCATAATAGGGATGGCATAATAGGCTTGTGAAGAGTTAGGACCTATAAGGAAGAGGTCTTACACCGTACAGGTACCCTAAAATATTATACGAATTAGCTGACAACAAGTAACATATACATCTATGCTACTAATAAATTTGTTTGCTTAGCATAATTACCTCCCACTACTCGTGTAATCTACTTAATAATTTTTAACAAAAGTTCTGAATGTCGAAACATTTGCTGTAAATTGCGGGAGTCACAATCCAGCAGCATCTCAGATAATCTTTAGCGTATTAGCATATGTACTGTGCACGCTCCTGCTTGAATTTTTATATACGAGAAAATTACAATAGCTGTTTACCAATTTTAACCTTATTTTTTAGTTGGGTTATCGTTATAAGAAAGCATCTTTAAAATGCTCCATTAAAAAGTTTTACTTTCAAAGTACGCCTACCGGTTTCATTACAGAAAACTTTAGTAGAGATCCATCAGCCTCTTAAAAGTTCAAAACATTGCTGATACTAGACTCAAAGGAATAATTAAAATAAAGGATATAAGAATCGGAAATAGGTAAACTAACGACAAAAGAATCTGTTTCCTGATATTATGACTAACTGATAAACAACATATAGCATAAAACGTTGGTCGAAGACTCTTGAAATTTGGAGGTTACATTCGTCTTATTATATAGATATGTACTAAATTCTTTCCTGGAGAGAGTTAAAACATTTGTATGAATGTTATATATGTTTGGACCTATAAAAATTGAAAATTGGTATTTAAGTAGTCTAAGACATTGGGACGTTATTAGTAATAATACTTATAATCATGCTCGGTCTCACTCTAATTTTATCGAAAATAGAACAGGATAGACGACGAAACAGTCCAAGGTAGTCCACCAGGCAGTTTCTGAAATGGATTTAAGATATGTCAGTATATCCCAAGCCTATGGTCTAAGGTAGCTGAAATGGAATTGGGATCCATAATCTCTCCCGATCCGGGTGACTGCTCTCACCATTGTTTGAAGAAGCAATTTTGATGAAGAGATTCATAATCACTGGTAATTTTATGCTCCTATCAAGATACATATTGATATTTATCTTTCGTATAATAAAATCATATTCGTGAAGATAAATATCGATATTTATAAAATATGAACTGATCAAGTATAATTTGTTAAAATTAAATATCAATAAACCTTCAAGTAAAACGCTCAACCTGACCATAGTGTATGAAGTGGTTCGGTTTAGCTATAATTTCGACATTCATTAAGATACGAGGATACTTCGATTTTGATTGTTTGCATGATCTGGATTGTGTGAAAATGTTTGCGGAGTTTATGAGTGTATCAAAGTGGTTATGAATAATGATGTAGACGATAGTCTTTTGAACATCAAAATTACTTTCGTCAATACACTTTATTAGTATTCTAGATATAAAGATAGAAACATATCTATGTGTGTATAATAAATTGATTGTCACATATATATGTGTGACAATCAATTTATTTTCTTTCCTTTACAAAGGTATGGATGAAGTGTACAGACAATTTTTTGTATCTACCAAAATACATAGTTGTTAACCGCCGTGATGCTTGCGTCCTCGTCCCGCCACAGCGATCCTAGAGGGCTCTAGCTCTAGGCGTAATGTTGTTGTAGGCCACGACAGATATCTATACCTATAAAAAGAAAGGTCTGTGACTCACTGACTGGACTAAAGGATCTAGGCTGTAATTTAGCACAGTAATAATTATTATTACATAAAGATTCGATAAGAAAGGATGTTGAAAACCATGTAAACTAATCAAGCTATAACTCGTACGAATTAACATGAGGGCCTGTTCTATTTGTCCACGAACGAAAATTTGGAATATTTTGTATGGTTCTTATAATTTGTTATAATCATATTCGTGAAGATTGTCTGTGCATCACAGACAGTGTCGGATTCTATATCCATTGCATCATCAATTATCGAAAAATATCTTTCTTTGGAATCTTAATATATTAACATTTAGAAAATAGACGAAATTTCGGTTTCGGAGAAAGCTAATAGGCCTTCAGGTGTTGTAATCGTACGAGTAGTACTTTGTTCTGTCTCTCTTTCTCTCTCTCACTCTTTTTTGTCTCTTGACTCTGTATGAGATCTGGTATGAGGAACAGATGAAGAGAAAGATGCTCTTACTTACTATCTATCCGATGGAATGGAAAAAAGAGCTATACGAAAACCACCAACGAAAAGTCAATAAAACTAGCAACACACGCTAAGCCGATTGCATTTTCAATCGATATCGAAATGGGAAGGGACCGTTAATTCCACTGGATATTTTGTGTATATTTATATATGCCACAGATAAAGTAGGTAGGAGGAGCTCGATGGCCCAATGCTTAGCGCGCTCGGACTGCGATACGGTTGTTAAGCCGGTCATAAGATCAGCTACCATAACTTTATTATCTCAAGCTCCGTCGTGGTTTGTAAAGCACGTTAAGCCGTAGGTCCCGGTTGCTTCTGCAATCGTTAACTTCCATCATTCCGCACTGGGTCCGCATGGTGGGTTATGGCACATTGTCCCTGTTCGATGTGGTTCGATTCTATCTTGAGGCGCAGCAGTGGACACAATAGCTTGGTGGTGAGGAAAGCAATGAATACAATCTAGCTAGCAATGCAATCTAGCTATTTTGCGCAATATCTATAAAAAGGCTGAATTTTGCTGTGAACGGAGATGTTTTTTTAAGAGAATATCATAATGCCCTTAATAGTTTAAAACAGGTTCTAGTAAATTGGCAGTTTTGTATTAACCTGACTTAATCTGTTTGTTTCAAATATATAAATATTTTAAACCTGTATTTTATTAGTAATTACTTCAAATTACGTCTTTCGTTATATCTTCATGGTGATGATGAAACTCAAATATAAAACCGAGTAAAATAAAAAAAAAGTTACGCAATTACGCGAGTCGATTTTAGGTATTTATCGAATACAAATTGTGTTACATGGTTGTTAATATAAACATATGCTGACTAAAACTAAGATTAACCTGCCAGCCTGTTCCAACATACACTTTTTTATTTGTCCATTAGGGTCGTTGCACTAAAAAACTAAACAATTTTTTTTATATACCTCCATCATCCCTTTTATGTCCCCACTTCAGGGGTTCAGGCCTTCCTTATATACCTAAGGATATAGTTAGGCCAAAACCCTCTACGC